TATATATTTCCAAAATAGATTGGGGAAGATTATTTGTCCCATTTGTCATGTGTCATTTCCCTATCACTGTTCCTGCTGTGTATCCCTTAAGGGTAACAGAAAAAGTAAGGTGGGCTAATATCCTAGGAAAGGCCAGCTAGCATAAATTTTGACCGTATTGCAACTTGTCATTGGCCAAAAAAGTCAGCACCCTGGCAAGAAGACAGGAAAGAAAATCCTGTGAATTTCCTGGGGCTGCTTCTAAAATCCAGGTCCCTTGCTCTCACGGCCTTCAGAGTAAATTCTAAACAAATACAGATCTTTCACATAGCGGCGACTTTAACTGTTGCTGTACTCTGGGGCTGTGCCAAACAAAACAGTCTGTCATTTAGAAAGAGGAAAACATGGTTCAGAGACCGTAAAACAGCAAAGAAAATAAATGAAAGTAACTGAAGGGTAGAAAGAGACCGTCTTTGGGTAACACAGTTTTCTGATCCTTCTTGTTTATCAGGCTCGCCCTGAGGAGACTTAACATGAAAAGACAAGCTACATGTGTGGCTTGTTTGTTTCAAAGAAATGAAACTCCTAAAGAGAAAGAATTGTGGGCAAGAAGGGGCCATTAGCAATGAGGTCAAGCTGGAAGGAAGTCTTCCCTAGGGAAAACTGCCAGCCTTCATTCTCCCAAGTGGGACGGCTTTATCCAAACCCATGAACTCCAAGTTGTGTTGAGCTCTTTCTGAAAAGCAGGAAGAATCACCACAGCTCTGTGTGGCCAGGGGAATTAATATACTGGGATGAAGATCAGTGTTCCAACTGAGTTTTCCTCAAAGCAAGGACAATGGTACATGAAAACAACCTCTCACGTGTGTGTGTGTGTGTGTGTGTGTGTGTGTGTGTGTTGGAAGTCAGAGATCAGAGGTCATCCTCAGGTGTTATTCCTCAGAAAGAGTGCATCTTGTTTATATGGCAGGGTCACTCCCTCAGAGTCAAAGCTCACTGATTAGGCTAGGCTGGCTAGCTAGCAAGCCCCCACATTCTCCCTGTCTTTACCTCCTGGTTCTGGAATTACAAGTATATGCCACTGAAACTGACTTTTTATATGGGTGTTAGAGATAAAACTTGGGTTCTAGTCGTAGGTGCCAAACACTTCACCAATGACGTTATCCCCTCAGCTTTAAAAGGTGTTACTTATGGGCCTTTCTTCCATTGTCCAAAGAGATTCCTATAGGCATTCTCTTTCCACAGTTCTGTGCTTGAGCGACAGAGATGTTTCCTTGGAGAGCCCAGTGACGTGACATCAGGGACATCCCAGGACAAAAGAGAGGAATGCAGTGTAGGACTACAGCAAGGAACTGTGCAAGACTAATCCTTATCTCCCAGGGCCTTGGTGGGGTAGGAGATGGGGACGGGAGAGTACAAGTGACATAAGTAACAGCCATTAACAATTTCCCCGTCTGCCACTCACAGGTGCATGTGCCCTTGTTTTAATTTCAAGTTCCATCTACCCAAGGTTTCTCTCTGCAAATAGCCAGCCAAAATCTCCACAAAGACTTAACAAAAATAGTCAGAAAGTGTTCAGTCTTTCGCTGCTCTTGAGGTCCTATTTGCTATTTATCTTCATAGACCTCCAGAACACAAACTTGTTTCTCCTTACCCCCATATAACCCACGTCCCAGTTTGGATTTCCTTCCTTGTGGGCACAATCCAGGTGTCGCTGAGAGGTCTGAGCCTTTGTCATTATCCTTTCTATTCCCAATAGCGGCCTGCTCACTACTGCGAGATTCAAATGCCCAAGGGACACTCCAAGGACTCTCCCAGTTTCTAGATAGATTCTTCACAGCAGCAACCCTGGCTTCTCAGTGTAATCAGCAATTCGTGTGCTCATCACCATAGCAACATTCTTTGTCGGTTGAACATCTAGTGGATTTCCCCAGATGCTCAAATTATAGTCATAGCTTCTAGTTTGTTGGGATCTCTTATGTCCTCTGCTGCATTGTCTCTGGGAACAAGGTCTCTGGTCTGGTACTGACTTAAGGTTTTAGGAACTGGAAGCACACACATAACAAGTGGAAAACTAACAGTGTTGAGGTGTCAAGAGTTCGTGATTTGTTGCTGTTGTGTTTGCTGTGATTTCTAGTCTTACCTTCTTTAAACTTTGGTTGTAGTTTTCTCTTTATTTACACACTTTATGAAATAGAATGTTGTATCTGTCTGTCATGGGGTTCAAAAGCTTCTTTTTTAACATTAGCATTTAAAGTTAGACATTTCCCCATAAAGCATCACTTACTGACCCCCTTTAAGTCTGTGCTTTCAGTATGCTCCTTTGAAGTGTTTTCAAATTTCTATGTTATTTTGTTTTCTTTTCATGCATGGATTATATAGAAGTATATTGTCTAAGCAATATTTGAAATAGAAGCTTCTTTTAGTTACTGATTTAATTCAATGGAATTTTAGAGCATGTATGTGTTCTTATATTAGTACACAGGTATGCCTTGAGACTTGTATACCACACAATCTATTTTGATGAATGATATTTTAGTTGTTAGGTATGTGGTTCTGATTGCACCAGTTAAGTCAACTTGGTTAATAATATGAGTCATATTTTCAAATCAATTCCTGATTTCTCCCAGTGGTTTAGTGCTAAAGTATCAGTTCCTGTCTGTGGGTTTGCCTGCTTCTTCTCGTAGTTCTGCCAATGTTGTTTCATGGATTTGGGCTTCTGTCATTTGCTACACATATATTTGAAATTTTCTTTGTCAGTTTAGGCTGTTGTAACAACACTGAAGTCTAGATGGACCTTGCAACAGAAATGTACTTACTTCAGGAATAGAGACTGGGAAGGCCAAGGTCAAAGTTTTGGCCAATTGG